GGCTCAGTGGGAATACACGTATACGCTGAGTATCGTAATTGACCTTGCATCACTGTATTCATAAGAATGGCTAGGTAAAATGTAGAAAGTGGTATCGATAAAGGAAAAATGAGGCCAGGAACATACGAACGAGAAGCATTGAAGGAACCCATTCTTCAACAGCTGTTAGATTGAGATTGGTAAAGATGGGAAAGGAAGATCTAAATGAAGAAATGAATGTTGAAAAACTAGAGGAAATGGCAGGGGTTAAAGGGGAAATTCTTATTGACAGAGCCATCATAGAGGAACAGATTTCATAGAAACGACAAGAACCTTTTCAGCGGCGGCGATTTAGCATATGTTTTTGCAATAAAGCAAGACCTAAAAACAATGTTCCCTTGCCATGTCCGCTTCAGCCACTTGCTCGTTGTTCTCAGGGATGTCGTTTAATCTTTTTGCGTCAAGATACTCTGCTTTATCAGCTGGTCACCTTAAATCATTGCATAAGTCACATACGCATTCAATACGCCACTCGATTCTTAATGTAATTCCAATGCCGTATCGCATCCCTCAGACGGAATTGAATAACGTCCAAACATAGAAGGAGGGGCGTACCTACTGGGTTGAGTTGTAATACATTCACGCAAGTATTTTCTTCTTATGTTACCCTATCATCTCTATGCTCGATCTCGTCATCTACGAGCTAATAAAATGACGCATCACGCACCGATGAGTGTGCCGAATCGTATGGTGTAAAGATCCGCAGATCACTAAACATTCTCGTTTTTTCTTTCCACAGAGGTCGCTACCCTACCCCACTGCCCATTGCTGAGTATTTGTTAGAATGTCTCTTCCGTACGCTTCTTTTTTCCAATTGCAGTTGATTAACATCACAGTTTGCGACCATTTCAAGTACATACATATCTTCAATGGATAGGACACGAAGTTGATGCAGAGCTTGCTGTTTATCGACAGTAAAAAAACGAAACAAAACGTGCAGAAATCCCGGAAACGAGACCTCTCCAAAGTTATTTCCAGAGAGTTGCACGAATACAACGACGAAATGTTTTTGGACGAGGTTCCAGTTGCTGCAGAGCAACATTTGTTACCTGTCACCATGTATGATCTGACTGCATTTTCATTGACGCCGTCTACTTTGAAAGAGTTGAGCCACTAGGTACATCAACAGCATCTCATGTTCTGAGCCTGTGGATTAATTGTGTCGGTTGGATGAGGTGTATTTGATACTTCTTGAGAGTGTGAGGTGATGAGTGAGCTAGAAACTTCATTACCACAAAACAAAGACTCAGCAAAACTAACTAAAGATCGAAACATAAGCCGAATGTGAAAAGAAAATGTGATGGCGAATGCAACAAGACTGCCTGAAGAGCTGAATGAAGGGGTTCCGTCAAAAACATTTGGAGAGGCCGTTCGCTGAGACCGGCTCCTGATATCTTGTCATAGATAGGGATCATGCTTATGAGACCACAAAATAGGAAGGTCACTTGCATTTGATCCCGCTGAGCTCCCGTACAGCCTGGGCCACGATAATCAAACATTTCTACACACTTTATCCAAGGAGAGCCTTTTGTGCACTCTCCCCGAGCATTCCATTCCCTTGAGATACTCTTTGCTGGAGACAGGTCACTACTGTAAGAACGTTTGGGTCGAGCCTTCGGCCAACCACGTTATACTGTACATACCTTAAGCCTAATCTTCAACGACGCTTCTTTGGATCGCTAAGAGGCCTCACTCGAAAGACTTTTCGTGGTGTCTCCCAAGTCAAATTTTTTGTAATAAAATATCTTGATACCTTAGCACCTATGCAAACTAAGAACCTCACGCACGAAAGCCTCTCTACCTACATATTATAGCAATGCCACGCTGTAGATGTTGAAGAGATATATTCTTTTTTTTAGTGGAGTGAAACAAATAGTGAGGCGGGATGCACAATGTTGCATTAGATGTGGTGAGTAGGTGAGAATAAGTAGAGAAGATTAAGGTGTTTAACAGAAAAATTTATTTCCTCAAGACAGCCATTCATTGTCATAACCAAATACATTTGAACATGGATGTCGTTTTCAAATCATGAGGCGGGCTAAGTAAAGAAGGAGTCTTTGGAAATCTCGACGGATTCTCTTGCCGTTGTACTGAATCTTTTGAGAGACCTTAATAAAAATTCATAAGAATTGAAACGTAAATTGTACCTAGAAGTTTAGGGTCAATTCTGAGACGTGTGGAGCTCAGGACAAGACCAAAAAAGCACATGCGAGCTCGGAAGAGCTTCTTCATGGAGGCGGGCATGCACTTGAAGGGCGGCACCGAATGCAAACTTCTGATTCGGAGCGAGAAAGCTCAGTGAATGTGAAAATTTGAGAAGTTGAGGAAAGAAGAATGGAATGGAGGAGAGCAGTATGTAGTGAGCTTTTCGTTCTCAAGGGTGACGATTCTTACCAAGTGGTTGGACAGGGCGATTCCTTGAAAGCCTGGTGGCCAGAAAAAAAATGCTTTGGCGATAAGCATGACTCGAAGTGTGCTGAGCATGCCTTAACTGATCAAAGCCGTCTTTACAGTGAGCATGCTTTCTTGTTTGGCTTGTATTTTTATTCCTCGTAGACCCTCATACTTTCTTTATTGCAAGTACGCAAGCATCTCCATCGCCATTTGTAATAGAATTTGTACCTCGATCTGGAATACAACCTCGCCTTCACTCGTTCAAATACCCAAGTTTGAGGAGCAACATGTTGTCATCTATACCGCGTGACAATCACTCTATCACATCTCGTACCAGTGGACCCATCAGGTGAATTATTTTGCGGCATGTTGATTCTCAACCAAGCCAACTGTTCTGAGATTCAGCTCACGGCCCCCAACTAATTGCAGCTCAACACAGATAAATGATTGAAAACAGCTCGTCAAGAGTTGTTTCCCAGAATCTCAGGTGTCGGAAACTTTAAGATATAATATGTTCACCACATATCATATTTCTGACATTACTATGGTTCAGTATGACGTGAACTGCCTAGTTTCTTGTCAAGCACCATTTAAAACAGAATTGAAGGCATTCTTCACGATAAAAATAAATTTCCAAAAGTCTTATTGGCAACGAAACGAATTGCTTTCAAAGATGCTACATGGGGCGTTGTTGGATCAAAAATGATTTACAATCAACCAGAGTTTTCTTTCTGAAGCCAGCCATGCATAGATGCACAGTTCACGATAAAAAAGGTTTCTGAGATTTCTCCATAGCATGAATTTGAAGCTCTCCCCTGTACCATATCTGCCGTTATAAAAACAAAAAGCGTCTTGGATAGGACACAATAAGGGGCCAGAGATTAAGGAGATCATCGTATGAATGCCACACTCATAACGAATTTCAACAGATTTGTAGAGGTTGCACTATATCAAGGGACCCCCATGAAAGAAGTTCTAACAACTTTTTATGACCCATGGCAACAGTGCAAGGCAGTTTCGGACCTTTTCGGTATATCAAACGCGCAGAGCAACTCCCACGCTTACTAGACGGTCCTTAGAGTACCACACTGGATCCTACCGCGCAACTGCACTGCAGCCTTTTGCTAGCATGAGAAGTTGGCCCTAGAAAGGGAGGTAGCTTTGAATACATTGGACCAACATTCTCTCTCGACTTCTATACTTCTTTATGCGCACAGTACATCTTACAAATTTAACATCAACTATAACATGATTGCTAACATTATTCTCTTTTACCCTTAATCTCTAAGCGCAGCGTCATGGGGATAGCACAGGGTCATATTCAAGCGCAGAGTCACGATGATAGTTGTCATTGGATCGCAGGAACGCAGTAACACCGAGGGGCACCGCATGAGGAGGAGGACTGCCGATATTGTGGCAAGGCGAGGTCGCCAGGCGCAGTTCCTTCGTGCTCTTCTCTGGAGTCACGGCGGCGCACACCCCATAACTTCTCGTCATCGTTCATCGCATCAATATGGTGCATCGCACTGAAGTTGGTCATACGGCAGCACATGCCTGTCCTTTGAGATCGAACCTTTTCTGCACTAAGAACAAGAAAAGGAGTGCCCGCCGGAAGCGTCCATGGTACTGTTTGGGTAGGTTCGAGCAGCCCAGAGAACGACTACGCAGGAAGCATCGACTAGGACGTACCTTCAACATCCTAGGACCCGTGTGGGTGTTATGGCTCTGGAGTGGCACCAGCAGCCATACGACGCACACTGCCCAGCCCCGGTTAGAGAGCAGGAAGGGTTATCCATCTGGAGGGATGGTGGAAGCCCTCCGTACGAACACCGAGGTAGCTACCCGGCGAAATTGCATGGAGGGAGACCTAATGGTCGGGACAGGCCTCATTCATGTAATCCGAATAGTGGGATCCGGTGTAGCAAATGCTGTCCGGTGAAACCGTTTCATATCTTCACACATTCCCATTTTCGGCCCACCGGCGTCTGAGGGCCCTTGATTAGAACTTTACGCGCAGTTCTAGGTAACCATCTTGGCTGGCACACAACGAGTAAGCCGACGCAGCCATTCGTTCTCATACACACGTTGCAATCCATATCCATAAGTTACTTTCTTTTTTGACATCTTTCCCTTGCGATCGGTATTATTATGCAAAGGCCAACGTCTTTTATACGCATTTAACATTCTGTCGAGGGGGGGGGGGGGGGCTCACGTCCGGAGCCGTCTCACTGCAATAAGCGCACTTACCATCCCCATTTTAGATTTGGCTCAGGCAGTAACCACCTCCTGCCTTCAGCGTTCAGCCAATCAGGTCGACTATCAGCGCATGCGAAGCCAGTCTAACGAGAGCTCTCACTGCGCTCGAAACGACAAGGGTTAAGATACCTCATGATCTTGTGAGCTCACTGAGCGATGAATCATTACCGCCAGCCGACGAATGCCAGCTTCTTGACCATCGCCCAGGAGCACTTTGAGCGCACTTGTCGAACTTGCGTGCAGCCTTACGCATCGTAAGAGAGGAACAAAAGTCGTTTGTAACATTCATGACTTTCTCCAGCAATTCAGAAATGGATAATGAAGAGCATATAGACTGCATGCAACAGTTCAGGATTGAGGATGCAACAGTAGCAGCAGGAACCCTTATCCAAACTATTCACGCAAACTGGAAGAAGTGTGCGCACGTCTTGAAGCACTTTGCCAAGTAATAGAAAGTAATACCTAGGAAGTGAGAGAGAACACGACAATAGGAATAATCCCTGTTCTAACACGAGTCAACCGGCGTAGCTACCTCTCCCTCAGACTTCTCAGAGGGATATCGTCCTATGGCGCCTCGGATACTTACTCGGCACTTTACCAACCAACAAGGGTTACGTCAGGTGACGCTTCAGTTCACGAAGGTAAACCTTGAACCTTTTACGGGAGATATCACGCAATTTCAACGTTTCATTCTATACTCAAAAAGGTTGTTTTACTCCTGGACTGGAGTTCAAAATAGTTTCATAACAACCAGTACAGCAAATCGCTCAAGACTGCCCATTTATGTCAAAAGAAAGCGTGCATTTGCAACGTTGAGCCTACCGAAATAACAAGTGTAGTAAACGTTAACTTACTGATATACAAAATCGCATACTTTATTCACATCTCACAAGCAAGGATGTAAAAACATTACCGCAGTCTCCTCTAAAGCTCTTCAGTAGAGATTTGAGGCTCATAAGAGAGAACCGTCTTCGTGTCCCACCGTATCATGCGTCACAATCGGTATAGCCGGACATACTCGTTGGTACTGAGAGTTACTGGGAGCTTCTCATGCGAAAACTCTAGGTTTGCCTACCAGGGTGTATGGTACTAACACATTCAAGATTTGGAACGATAGTGTCGGGTAATTCGGCCTTTCACTTGGGATTAACAAAGCCCAAAGACCGAAAAAGTTCAGGCAACGTTCAGCGCGAACGATGAGCTTGCAAGCCGGCTCTGGTCATTTGATTCACTAGGTATAACAGATAGCCATCATCTTGAAGCAGATGATGAGCTTAACGCTCTTAGCGTTTTGTCGGTTACTCAACCAGTATTAGCGTCTTTGTAGAGACGCATCGACATGGGAGCAGTATGTCAAAGCAATCGAGGATCATATAGTAGCCGGCTTCGTTAAGGAAGTAGACGAATACGTATTCGATAATCATCGTGTCTACTACATTCTCTATCGAGCAATTTATAAAGAGTCTTCATCGAAGCTTCGCATAATTTTCGTTTCATCAAGTTCGACTTCAAGATCACAGCGGGACGCCATACTTTTTCCTTCGTTGAAAGATCCGTTCAGTCCACCAACGCGAGACAATATGCAATATTATTTGCGCTATCCTAACAGTCCCTTATCCAAGGAAATAAAATGCAACACCTATGTCGAGAATGTCGCCTTTGGAGCCGCAACACATGATGAGGCCATCAAGAAAAGCGAGATGACGAAATCTGTCTTTGGCGATATGCACATGTATGTATCGCGACAGTTTGTATGTAATTCAAAGTTTCTCAATAACTCCATGCATAAGGAAGATCGGGTTACTGGCAACGAACATTCTATGTTGCTAGGCATGGAAACACAAGGACCATCTTAGTATGATAATCAAAAGTTGAATGTTCCAGTTCATTCGGAGCGTACGGCACTTCGCGCCCTAGCGTCGACATATGAACCGCTTGGCCTATTAACGCCATTCTTCTCAAATATTGAGATGTTCGTTCAAAATCTATGGGCAGGAAACTAACCTGAGACGATCCTCTAGATCATTCTGACCGCCATCGTTGGTCAGATATTCTTGCAGATCTTAAATATCTTCTTCCGCCGCTTCTTAGACTGGTGATTCCGATAGCAGATAAGACGCTTAGTTCAGTCGCGCTATGTGTGCTTGGAAACGACCTAAGAGTGTCTATGCCTGTTGCGCATATCTTCTAAGTCGGTTCGAGCTATCTACCTCATCCAGGCTCGTCATGGCTAAATCGCATCTCAATGACCGCAAGCCATTAACGACTCCTTGGTCGGAACTTCTCGCAGTTCTTATAAGTGTTCGACTCGCACAGTATATTGTCTGGACTTTACCATTTCCGCCAATAACTTCTTTTCTTATTTGCTAGAAGCCCTACGTTGGATCCATTAGGATCGTCAGTTTAAAACCTTCGTCCAAAGTAGCACTGGCACCATTAACAATATTCTTGCGCAGTTTTGTCAACGAAGCACCAAGTCTAAGTCCCACTGCGTTGCTTCCGAAGGCAACCCCGCAGATTCTGCCACTCGTGGCCTTTCCACGAGAGACGTCAAAAATCAAAACCAAAACCCCGCCCACTTCGGGCGCGGCGCACCCAAACCAAGGTCTTGACATGACATTACAGTATCACCAAGTGTCAGTGGAGCGAGTGATTTGCATTTGTCCGTGTTACCTTCTATCTCCTTATCCCAATGCGCACTTGATTTCAATTGCCGTGCAAGGCGACAACGAGAACGACTCTAAGTTTCGAACAGCAAATACTACGCTAGAATGCAATTTTATTTCAGTGCTTCCGTTCTCACACACTAACAAATTTAATAAGTCGCTTAACATAATGGCTTACATACTTCGCTTCTGCATCTTAAAATCATTTCTCATCTTCCTACAACAATGAAGGAAAGCCTAGAAAGATTACTGCCACAGTTAGCAAAGATCAGCTCGAAAGGCCTATTCACCTGCTCAGACAGGGTTGCGGCAAAGGAGATTCTTATCCTTGCTTACTACCGCGAGCACGAGCACACCTTACAAGTTTGCCGTTATTGCGTTTCCATGCTCAAAAAGACCCCACCGGGTTTACTCGATGTTCCATTCGTGTAGGTCTTATTCAGCAGCTCCTATCCTCCTTTTGCCGTCGCGAGACTTACCGAAATTATTATCTGGCAGCATCATCTGCAACAGTTACATGCAGCAGTATATTCCACCGTCTCCACACTGCGTACAAATAATGTTATTCAGTCATTTCGCAGTTCAGTCACAAAGACGCTACGCGCATGTGTTGTTTGTCGAAGTGTCAATGGTTATGCTTACCGTTATTCTAAGATGCCTACTTTACCGAAGCAACGCACGTCAAGATCTAGACCATTTTAAAATGTTGGTATCGATTACCTCGGTCCGTTGAACCACCGCACCGTCTGCTCCGCCACTGAAAAGGCCTGGATATGCCTCATAACATGTATGGCGACTAGAGTTGTCCACCTCAATCTCATAACCTATACTGTTCAAAAATTCCTGCTCACATTTTACAGATTTTCTTGCACGTAGAGCACATCATAACTCATTTAAGCTACAATGCTACTACCGTCCGCTTAGCAGACGACGCTATAACAAACGTTATGTACGCTCGGAGCTTATAGCGTCCCACTGCAGAAAGAATTAGCGCAAAGCATGAAATCACTTGAAGATACATCACATTCTTATCCCCTTGGATAGGTGGACTCTACGAGTGCATGGTCCACTTATTCAAATCTGCATTTAGAAGGCTTGTAGGACGCGCAGTGCCAACGCTCGAGGAGCTGCAAGCTGTTATAGAAAATATTGAAGCTGTTATTACTTCCGTGACACCTTTCCGAGAAAGCGACAGCTCTATCAGCGCACTGAGACTAGAGACTTCATTTCATCTGAAGAATAACTCCAAATTCCACAGTCTAATGATTTGCCAATTCGCAACATCCGCGCACAAGTTGTAAGAATGGTATAAGGAAACGCTCAAAACGCTAAACAAAATCTGGGAACTAGTGAACTATAGAACTATACGGATTACTTTACAGCTTTAAGAGAACGCTATCAGCTTCGCATGAAGCAGCCTGAATATACCACGGTGCCCCCGCAAGCCAAAGATCAAGCCAAGCCAAGATCAGTCACGCTGACGTTAAATTACCGAGAAGTCATTGGCCGCTCGGTTTTGTTATAAAGGTTAATCCACGTGCAGACAATAGATCTCGTTCTGCAGAAGTGTGCATGACAAATGGTAAAGTATTAACACGCTCATGGCACGCTTATATCCACTCGAAATCCGTGCAAATAACGCGAAATACTCAAATTCTACGCAAATCCGTAATAGCGCAATAAAACCGTTGCCGGATTCAACCGAAAAAGGCGGCAAAATTCTTCATGTGTTCATTCATTAATACTACTTACAATGATATTATCATTCACGCGCATTTATCCAGTTAAAACAATCATTAGCCTAACCAAACAAAACAGTGCCCCAAAGCAACGTTGCGCACCGCCGCCAAACACATTTTTGAAAGTCAATCTACGCGTCATTCAGCCGGACTACGATCCCTCCCTGCCCTTCTGTTCATTCCCTTTTTCTCGCTGCTATTTCTAACAACTAAGGTATTCTTATCCGTCGCAATAATCACGAAAAGATCGGTCAGGTACCCCTTTTTTCGCAATGTTTGCTTTTTTGTGCAGTGTACAGGAAGCATAGTGTGTGGTGACCTCTTTAAAATGGCTGCGCATCAAACGTCATTTTTTGTTTGTATTGGTCACCACATATTATGTTAGCCTGTCTTAGTTTATCCATACCCAATTACACGCCCATATTCGCACATCTAGTATACCCCGCGAAATGCAGTTTTGTGAGGGCGGGACAGAGAGAACCGTACCGGTGGGGTCCCGCCAAAGAAGAAATGCCCATAAGATCACAACACCGCTGGGGGAGGGTGATCAAGAGTACTGTAGGTGACCAGTAGTGATCAGGAGGTAGGAGGCTAGCAGGAATAAACATGCCTGGGGAAAGAAAAGGCGCGGGAAAGACCGTATAAAAGGTGAACCTCGAGAGGTAGAGGTCGTCTTCGGTTTGTCCTCCTTCGCCCGCCGCCAGTACCCCCACGGAGTTGGCTCCGTGCCCTTAGAACCTCGGTGAGAGCTCGGGGCGAACCTTTGGGGTCGCGAGCGAGGTAATTAGAGGAAGGCCTTAGTGGCCGGTTCATCTTTGGTGGGACCCCCCCTGTATTCTCTCTGCCCTGACCCTCGGGGGATTTTAGGTTGCGTTGTATTTTTGATTTTGGTTTTTCGCATCAGTATTGCATTTGTGTTCGGAGTTTTTTATCGCTTTTGCTAATAAACTATTCATTTCTCGTGTTGTACCACACTCGAAGCAAACCGCCCGTTCTGTGTAGTCCCTAGTAAGGACCCTTACAGTTTTGTCTTCTCGGAAGTGCCGCCATTGGACGGATCCCGTACATAACGGGACGGGCGACGGAAAAGCGGCTTGGCTGGGCTGAATTAACC